TTCATCCACATCAATTGCATTGGATGCCAAACTACTGGATTATAGATTTTTTAAATTTAGGCATAATATTTTAGTTTGTTGAATGGAGGCTTTTGAAAATTTGAAAAGAAATGAGCTTAATTACAAAAATAGTTCATGAAACAATTGGATCTCTCTAAACATATTGCTTTCGATAGGGGTGAGCAGAAACAACTCATAGGAAAGACATTTGGTCCATGTGGTCAAGGCCGACACTGGGGCAGTGCAACCGCACAGGGCCCCTAAATATATAAAATGCTTTTTAGGCGTAACATAAAAACAAGTTTCTTTGGTTCAGTGGTAAAGAAAATGGGCAGAGGTCTGGAGTTTGATTCTAGTTTCAGTACTTTTTGCTAAAAACTTCTACATTAGAGGTGTCAAAACCACACTCGACCTGACCTGAAAAATCCGATTTAGGTTTCGAGTCTCATACACACAAAAAAATGGCATGACTCAACTTTAAAAGTTGACCGACCCAACCCGACCTCACCAAATCCAATCCGAACATCCGAATGACACCTCTATCTACGTATAATGATGCTCAGTTGTACACTTGTATTCCAATAGCAGAAAAGTCTAGAAACATTATTTCCAGTCAGTTTTTTTTTTTTTTTTACTCTCTCCTATCTTAATCTCACCGCTTCTATCTATCTTCTCTCTCATTCTCACAATTTATTTTTTAATTTTTGATTTTTATTTTTTATTATGGAACCTCATTTTTTGTCTTAGACATTTGACATTTTGACAAGGTTATGTAATCCTTACCTGACACTACGATTTTCACCTTGACACCTCAATCATCTTGATCCACGTTTATAGAAAAAAAAAAAAAAAAAAAAACCTTTAAAATAGAGGGATAACAAAGAGAGCCATTCAATATGTGCTTGAAGATGGGCTTGAGATAAAGTTTAAAGCAGAAAACCTTACAATAAGTTACCAATAATCTATTTCTTGTGCATTTGTATCAAAAGTTTGAATGTGAATAGACATAAGACATTCAAAATTCTTAGATCCAGGGATATGTTTCATCAATACCTTTTTACCATACAAGGACTGCGTCTACGTGTCTTTAAATTTGGAATTTGGTTTGTCTAACTCTTGTATATGACACTCCATGCCTGGAGTATCAAAGCTGTCCAGCAGTAACAAGTTACTTTATGAGTATTGAGATTTATTTTAGACTGTGTATGATTTAGGCAAATTTATAGTTTTGTACTGTATACACTGACCTTAGCTTTCTTATTTGTTCTACTTAGGTTTTGCATTATAAGCTGCACAATGACCCTTGGAGGAAACAAATTCCTCAAAAAAGGAGGGACTCTGGTCTACCAAATGAATGCTTGATAAATAGCTAGCTGAGGTCTGCTTGAACTGGACCTGCACGCCATACTGAATGGTTAACAGCCGATATTGCTGCATAATTTTTTTTTTTTTTAAAAAAAATGAAAATTTAATGTTCAACACTTCAACCACTACTTGTTTGTCGCTTGGAATCTCCCACAACTTCGATGCAGCATGATATTGATGAGGTTGAGAGGAAAGCAAGACAAAAACAGAGAATGAGAGGAAGGGGAAGATATATCATATATACACACAAAAACAGAGAAAGAGGGGGTATATATACAATTGTATAAGTAGCCAGAGCTGTAAAATATAGGAAGCACATCAGCACATGTGTACAGTTACTAGTTTTTATTGGTATCTCAATTCTTTTGTTGACAATCCTACTCGGAGTTTATTCGTGTGAGGCATTGATCCTGGCAATAATTCACTTGAAATAGAAATTTGTGATTTTTGGAGCCTATTCGGAATTTCAATTATACAAAGGGCCTATTCGACGCTAGCGCTTGAGGTAGAGGCAGTGGTTTGCTAAAGTCAAACACTACTTGAATATTTTTGTAGTGTGGTAAACTAGCCTCTATCTTCCTGTCTTTCATTTTCTTTTTGTTTTGGTTTGGTTGTGTTACATATGACTAATGTAAGTTTTGGATATACTCCTTAGAATGTTTGGGTGGGTTTTGGTATACATGAATGATAGGCTCTTTTCAATGCTTAGAATATCTAAACATCTATGCATAAGTTGAGATCATGATCCCCTAAATCTTTGAGCACATAACCAATCAATCATATGAACTTATGAAATGCAAATCATAAGGTCAAAAAAAAAAAGAACCTATTTTAGGGACTGATTTGCTAAAGGTGATTCCTTGCTCTTTCTGTATAACTTTATTACGTGCCCTTTCTCTATATAGTTTTGCTTGAACTACTCTAAAAACAACGACTAATTTTTAAACCAACCTAGTGCTCTCTCTCTCTCTCTCCCAAACCCTACCGTTTTCCCAAAAACTGCTGCGGCTATGAGGCTCGCCGGCGGGCGTGCGGCTCACCGCCCATGCCACGGCGTCGGCGAGCCTCCGATTTACTCCCTTAGGTTGTTTTTTTCCTTTCTCGTTTTTGTTTTCGTTTTCACTTTGTTTTTTTTTGTATTTCCGGCCTTGCAATGTGCACCGCCTCCCCTCTTCGGCCGCGTCAGTTCCTCACCGGCCTTGCTGCCGGCTTGCCGCCGGTTTTCGTCTCCGCTTCCCCGCCGTTCCTAGGGTGAGTTTTCTCCCTCTGAGTCCCTCGCGTAGGGCCGTTCTTAGTCTGGTGTCTCCAGCCGTCGTTGCCGCGGTTCAGGGGTGTATGGGGTTTGGGTTTCTCGGGCGGGTATTGGCGGTCCGGGTTTTACTGTCAGGCGGCATGTGGGTTGGGTTGGTGAACCTCGGAGCTTTGGTGGTTGTGCTCGGAGTGGCGGCGGGGTGGATTGTTAGGGTTCCGTTCGTAGTTCTTGTTTTTAAGTTTCTTCCTGTTTTTTCTATTGGTGGTGTGTGTAGTGTTTGGGTTTCCTGTTTTCGTCTTTGTGTGTTATTTGGGTTTGTTATTTTTTCTTTTTGTGTGGTGTGTTGGTGTGCTATGGGGTGTGCAGATCGATGTACCGATCTTCTGGTGCAGGATTTGAGCCGGGTTTGTTGGCTATGGGGCTTTGGTTTGATCTTCTGTTGGTTCGGGCTAAAGGGTTATGCTTCCATGTCGATATCCGTGTTTAAATCGGAGATTGTCTTGTCAATGGTGAAGTGTACGACACCAATTTTGATTTCAAGTCAAGGAGTACAGGATTCTGAGCCAATGAAGGTTCTCGTCAGAAACTACAACATATTGTCAGACCCCCTTGCAAGAGGATGCATAGGACAGCGTTATATAAGCCAAGGGTATTTCAGAAAGTCATTTTGCGCGTGCAATTGTAGTTTCCTTTATTTCGAACTAGTAATTGGTTCTTTTGTCTTTGTATTGTTCGATTACGATTTCTTATGTAAGTGTCGTATGACTTATTATTAATGAACTTTAATCTCCCCCTTTCAAAAAAAAAAAAAAAAAACTACTCTAAAAACAAGGAGTACTAAAAAAAACATAGAGTACAAGTAGGGCGCGTCAATTCGGGTAAATAGTTCAGATTATAATTGGTTTTATCATTTTCGGGTTATAACGAGTTGGTTTATAATAGATTGAAACTAATTAGCAGGTCGTTTTTGAAAATCATCGGGTGAATTTGTTTGTTTGTTTGTTTTTTTTTTTTTTGCGATTTCTATTTGGGTCGGGTTGTAGTGGTTACGGGTCATAATCAATTTGGGTTGAACCAGGTCGATTTGAAAAATGGGTTTAGCAAGTTCAAAGCGGGTATCGGTTCAAAACAGTTCGGGTCCTAATCGGATCGGGTTGTAATTGGTTTGGGTCATAATCAGTTTGGGCTAAATTGAGTCGGTTTGAAAATGGGTTTCGGTTCAAAACAGATTGGGTGAAATCGGGTCCAGTCATTATTGGTTCTAGTCATAATCGGTTAGGATTGAACTTGTCGGTTTGCAAACGGGTTTACCCAATTTAAAGCGAGTTTCAGTCCAAATCATATTGGTTAAAATCGAGTCGGGTCATTATGGAATCGAGTTAGGCCCTGTTCTCTTCACCTTAAAAAAATAATATTAAGTAAAAATAATTTCAGTTTAGTAAAAATAATTTCAGTTCAGTAAAATTAATTTCAGTTCAGTAAAAATAATTTCAGTTTAGTAAAAATAAGTTCAGTTCAGCAAAATTTAGTTTTATTAAAGAAGAATTATAATAGAAAATCAGTAAAAATAATTTTAGTTCAGCAAAAATAATTTCAGTTCAATAAAAATTAATTTAAGTTCAGTAAAAATAATTTAAATTCAGTAAAAATAATTTCAGTTCAGCAAAATTAAGGTGAAGAGAACGGGGCCTTAGTCAGATAAAGGGTAGGAAAGGATCATGTTATAATCAAGTTAAGTCATAATTAAGTTCGGTTTATCGAGTAGTGGATTGAAAAGGATAAGATCATAAACATATTGGCGTACTGGTTGTAAATGTCACAGTCATAACAGGTCACCGGTCGTAAGCGGTTCGATCTCAACAGGTTACAGGTCGTAAACGGTTCGGTCTGAACAAGTTACAGGTTGGAAATAGTTTGGTCACAACGAGTTACGGGTTATCAGTGGTTCGGTCACAGCGGGTTATTGGTTGAACCGGTTCAGATTTATCGGTTTTTTGCTGGGTTTAAACATTTTTCTGTTTAAAATGTGTCGAGTTACTATCGGGTTTAGACGTAATTAGTCCGGGTTGTAACGATTTGACTTAATAATGGGGCGGGTTAGTAATGATTCACACAAATTCAGTTTAATTCAATTTCGGGTTAGAAAAAATTAGATCGGATCAGTTTTCAATTTCCTAAAAATAGATTTTTAACAGTTCAGTTTCTTTTCGAATTGATTAAAAAAAGTCGGTTTATAGTACAAGTACATGATGACAATGTCGAATAGACCAATTTTATAACCGGTTCATGTAGTAATAGTGTAATACTAATACTTGGGAGTTGGGACATCCTAAGTGTCCATTTGTTTTCCTTCTTAAATAAATAAATTACGTAGTACTTGGTCAAGTATTTATTCGTTACTAAAAAAAATCAACATTTCCACGTCACACAATATAAACACATTCAATTACCTGATTCCTTTCTAAAACCCTTCACTCCCCACCCCAGCCAGCCCACCTTCCTTGTTTCTCTCTCACCCAAAAAATGAACACTTCCGCCCTCCGACTCGACCATAACCCGGTCTCCTTCACCGGCTCAACTCACTACAACCTCTACAAAACCCCTTCTCTTTCTCGACCTTCTCGTCTTTCTAGAACCTTCCAGAAACCCTCCTCCTCCGCCGCCGCCGCCGCCGTCGTCCGATGCTCTTCCCTGAAAACCGCCGTGACTGAGCCAACTCGTGAGGCAGTGAGTCGAATCGATGGGTTGAGTCAGGTTTCCGGCGTCTTGGGTTGTCAATGGGGTGATGAGGGTAAAGGCAAGCTTGTTGATATTCTGGCTCAGCATTTTGATGTTGTTGCTCGTTGTCAGGTTTCAATTTTTACTTTTTCTTTTCTTTATTTTATTTTATTGTTTGTTTATTAGTATAATAGTATTTCTGATTGAATGGGTGATGATATCTGAAAGTGATTTTTTAATTTTTTTTTTAATTATTATTGACATTTTAATGATGATTAAACTTGAATAATAAATGATTTTTTTTTTTCTTCAATTTGATAGATTCTGATTCACATTGTTATAGACATTTATAAATCATTAGCTTAATTGATTAGCTCATTTCAATTTAGGTTTCGATAGTAGTCTTGTATGCATGGAAATTGGGAGGTGGAGGTTTTCTTATAAGGTTAGTGGGGGTGGAATTTGGATTGAATTAGTGTGGCTTGTTGGATTGTTTGAGTTTCTTATTTGTTGTGAATTACTCCGTAGCACTTTGTCGATTCGTTTCGAATTAATTGTCTTATGTAAATGAAAGTTGGGTAGGAATGAAGCTAAGGGAATGGATAGAATGTGGCTGTGTTTGGTAAACAGCTTATTTGACCAACATTAGCTAATTGACTATTAAATAAGCTAATTCGTGTTTGATGGAAAGCTTATTTAATGAGCTTATTCCACTAAATAAGCTCTTTCTGAATTGGGAGCTTTTTCAATTAGGTTATTCATTAATATATGGTGAAATGACACTTATACCCCCATTTAATTTTAAATCCTTCCTAACCTACCTACCCCACAATTACCTTATTGGTCATTTCACATACTCACACAACTTTAACTTTAAGCTATAAGCTATTTACCATACACTTTTATACAATTAGCTAATAAAATAAGTTGGTCAAATCAGTTAATACAATCAGCTAGTGAAAATCAGCTAACATAATCAGCTTTAGCTTTCAACTTTAAGCTGTTCACCAAACACGTATAAATCATTTCCTTATTTTATTGACTATAAATGATTAGTTTTTTAGGGAGAAAATAACAATATTTGAGATTTTCGAGAAGTCTTGTTATCGTATGGGGTATTGTTTACCTGTTGGTGTTTGAATTTTGATGGCAATGACATCTGTGATAGTGCCATGGGTTTCAGGAAGATAATCGATATGACCTTTGGTGCCATGGGAAGCCAATATATTTGGGTTTAACTTTTAACAACTAAGTTCTTGAAGTCAATGTTGGCAGCCATAATCACTTAAAACTGTGATTATTTACAATCCCCTGATTACTTATGACTTACTCTTATAGTTTTATGTTATTTCTTGCATTTCCCATTACGTTGCGGTTCACATACCCCATTAATCTAAAATTAAATGAAGCACAAATCCATCAACTTCACAAATGCTTGGTCCTTACCCAACTAGGGTTTACTAATCCTATTTTTCTTGGATTGTTTAACTTTCAAGGAATTCTAATGTTATTGATTGGTGATGCATTGTATGCCACCTGTTGAGGCCTTTTGTGTGCTATTCTTAATTGCCTATTTATATATTTCATAAGACTTTTGTTTTGTTTTGTATCTTGACTTAGTCTGCTGCATCTTTCCAATTGACAATACTTTAATTTTTATTTTTTTAATTAATTATTTACTTTATAACTTCAACTTAAGTAGTTGAGATTGCTATAGTAACCTAATATTCTGATCCATCTCAGTAATTTGGTTTCTCTCTTATATTTTGTATTTCTATTTGTTATTTTATTTTTGGTTGTTTATTTGTTTTAATATTGTATTAGATAGTTGTGTATTTCATTGATTTCTATGGCAGCCACTTGATGTGATGTCTTCATGTCTTAACACACTTTTTAAAACACGTTTCTTCTGTTAATTTGTTGTTAGGGTGGAGCTAATGCTGGGCATACCATCTACAACTCAGAAGGAAAAAAATTTGCTCTTCATTTAGTTCCTTCTGGTATTCTTAATGAGGAAACTTTATGTGTTATTGGAAATGGAGTCGTGGTGCATCTGCCTGGACTTTTTGGTGAAATTGACGGTCTTGAGTCTAATGGAGTATCTTGCAACGGACGTATATTAGTTTCTGATCGTGCTCACTTGTTGTTTGACTTCCATCAAGAAGTGGATGGTCTTCGAGAAGCTGAGCTAGCTAAATCCTTAATTGGCACAACAAAGAGAGGCATTGGGCCTGCTTATTCAAGCAAGGTGATAAGGAATGGCATACGAGTTGGTGACCTTAGGCACATGGATACGTTTCCTCAAAAGCTTGAAATCTTACTGTTGGATGCAGCAGCCAGATTTAAAGATTTTAAATATGAGCCAGAAATGTTGAAGAAAGAAGTAGAAAAGTACAAAAGGTTTGCTGAGAGATTGGAGCCTTTCATTGCTGATACTGTTTTGGTCATGAATGAATCAATCTCACAGAAAAAGAAGGTTCTGGTTGAAGGTGGTCAGGCTACTATGTTGGACATTGACTTTGGAACCTATCCTTTCGTAACTTCCTCTAGCCCATCAGCTGGTGGAATTTGTACTGGTCTTGGTATTGCTCCCCGAGCCGTTGGTGATCTTATTGGAGTAGTAAGTTATATTTGTCATTGTAGTTTTATTGGTTTGTTCTTTTATATTCTTTTATCTTTTGTAATTTTATGTACATGCACAATTATTTGCACACACATAGGATGGAAACATGTCAACAAATTTTCTCATGGGTGAAAGCTATTTGGAGTGTGCTGCTCTATTCCTGTCCTCCTCTTATTCACCTTCACTGCCAATTTTTTCCTTTCTTTCAACATGTCCTCTTTCATCCACTTGTCATCCACTTTTCTCTTCATGGAAACCACCTTTCCTCCAGATTCTCTCTGGAATCTGCAGGGAGAGGGGGGTGGCCGGGTGGGGTAGCAGCTTTGTCAGTTCTTACTCCCTCTCCCTCTCTCTTTTTTTTTCCCTCTTCTTCTGATGGTATTATATAGTATATACAAGTATAATACTGGAAGGGAATAGGTATGTTTGCTAGTGGTGAGGAGCAAAAGAGGCGGGGTGGTGATGGGGGGTTGGCAGGGTTAGAAATTATTTCAAACTTAATCCAGCTAAGAAGCTGATGTATCATATGCCTTTGGGGATGCTACCCTAATTCCATCAAGGAGCTTCCTAGACTGGAACTGGGGTGTATCTACCTTCAGCTAGCTTACAGAGCTACAAGATCCTTAGTTGGGTGTTTGGGAAGAGATTCAAGGTAATGGATTTCTCTTAGTGCCCACATACTTATTGATAGGCTCACAGATGCAGAGTATCCCAATCAGAAGCAAAGGTCTGCAAGAAGAAATAATAGGTATGGAGCCATGGAGTTAGTGAAGGAGATTATAGGAAAAAGGGGAAGGGGGGTTAGGGTGGTGGAGGCTAAGGGGGTGGAGCGGGTGGGCAAGAAGTTTAGTAATTCTCTATACGTGAATTTTGTAATTACTTCTGAGGTTAACTTTGCTGATGTTGGGACATGTGTGGCATAAGATTGATTGATTTAGTTCGATTTATGCTGGCTTGCTTCAGAAAAAATAAGTTCAGATAAGATAATACTCCGTATAAGATTTAGATATAATGAAATTCAGGTAAAATAGGATCCAATAAGTTCAGATAAGATTAGTCAAAAGAAATTCCAGTAAATTAAGACAAGTTATGACCAAATTCTTTCCGAAAAACTCTAATATGTTCAGAAAAAAATAATATTTGATAAGTTTAGACTAGTCAAATTCAGCTGAGTAATATGCACACTGAAAGACCCCCCCCCCCCAAACCACCTCTCTCCCAAGTCCCAACGCAGAGGTTTAATTTGTTAATGCTTGATTGCTTTCTTCTTACTTACCCTGTTATTTCTTTTGTATCAGGACTTTCAACCTGTTTATATACCTGCAGAGGTTTCTAATAACAGTTTTGATTTCAGGTAAAAGCATACACCACACGTGTTGGCTCTGGTCCCTTCCCTACAGAGATATTGGGTCAGGGTGGGGATCTGCTGAGGTTTGCTGGTCAGGAATTCGGGACAACAACTGGTCGTCCTCGTCGCTGTGGTTGGCTTGATTTGGTTGCATTGAAATTTAGTTGCGATATTAATGGCTTCTCTTCTTTGAACCTGACAAAACTGGATGTTCTATCTGATCTTCCCGAGATCCAATTGGGTGTTGCATACAAGGATGTTGATGATACTCCGATCAAATCTTTCCCTGGTGATCTCCGTATCCTTGAACGGTTGAAGGTGAGTGGATTTTCTTGAACAACTGCTGTAGAATTGTGCTTAGTTGAATAATTGTCCTGCAGTACAACTATATTTTATTTAACTCGATAGTCCATAAACATTTATGGTGGAAGATTTTGAGATGAAAAAAATTCATGCTTGGAGCTACCCCCATTTCAAACTCCCCTGTCTTGAACTTTATTCAGCACTACTAAAACAAAAGTTTTGGAAAATGTATTTGTTACTCCGTATGTTTGTCCCTTCTACTTATGTTTGATCATATCATCTTTTGTTGCATAGCTGATGGCATTTTAGGATATCAATATAATTCCTTACGTTGCGTAATTTGCCATTTGTTCAGGTTGAATATGAGGTTCTACCCGGGTGGAAGACTGATATATCATCAGTTAGAAACTACGCTGACCTTCCATTGGCAGCCCGTCGCTATGTTGAGCGGGTGGAAGAGATAGTTGGCGTGCCAGTCCATTACATCGGTGTAGGTCCAGGCCGGGATGCTCTCATTTACAAGTAGTGTGTTTAGATAAGATCGGATGTTCGACTGTCTTTTATCCCGTGGGAGTGGTAGGAGGAGACAGTTTGACCCAGTTATACCCTTTTAACTTCTGAGAGATAGCTGCAAGCAATCAAATCTATTATTTGTTGACATGCATTTATCTGCAGCATACTGTATACCCCTAATCTGATACAAAACTGATGCTGCAGTGATTTTAGCTGCCAAATATTTTTGTAGTTTTCTCTGTAGGTGTTAATGATTTCAAATATTCTGAGTTGTGTTTGTATGATCCAATGATCTGCCTTTCCATTAGTCTCTTTCCCAATAACAGGGTAATGTACAACTGCAAAAGCCAAAAGGTGATCTTTGTTGAGCATCAACTCTTTTTTTTTTTTTTTCTTTTTTTTTATAGTGATTTTCTATATTTTCATATAGCATTAGCATCTACAAAACAGTTGATGATATGATGGTATATTGGTATTATATAAACTGCCTGATACGGGATTAATAAGTTGCTGTCAGATTATTCACAACCCAATTTCATCTCACTGCTGGCTGAGACCTGAGATTGTTCAAGTAGTCTTTTAACTCTTCTGTACAAGATGATAAGCCTACTATAAAGACGCAAGATTAGTGAAAGTTGTGATTATTATTCATAATCGTCAACACTTTATGTTTCTTGAGGCGCCCCTGTCTATCTTTATGGTAAATCACTAGGTTAGTTTTATTTATTATGGCAATTTTTCCTTTAAATTCTTCTTCTTCTTTTTTTTTTTTTTTTTTTTTTTAATTTTAATTTTAACATAGAAAAAACTAATATTATTGTGAAAGGTCAAGGAGAAAAGAGTATTTTATTGTTTTTACTATATAGAAAAAACTGTAGTAGTTTTTATGAACCAATTGTCACTGGAAATTCTATGCCCCTCAGCTAGTTAAAGTCTTGTGCCATGCACGGGTTTTATAATATTATTTAACGAACTATAACATTATTTTAACAATTATACATTAACAAAGAATTACATTTATAAACTAAAAATAAAATAAAATTGTTTTACTTAATATGTATATGAGAATTCATATTTATATGATAACTGATCTATAATTTAGAACACGTGAGTAAAAATTTAGAACATACGAGTAAAAATTTAGAACATCCGACTCAAATTTAAATTTAGAACATATGACTAATAATTTAGAACATGTGTGTGAGCAATAATTTAGAACATCTGATTCAAGAATTTGAACATATGAGTAAAAATTTAAAAATTTTGCTTTATGAAATTTAGAACATATGATTAAAACTTAGAACATCTGATTTAAAATTTAGAACATGTGTATAAAAAATTTAGAACACTTGGTATAAAATATAGAAAATGAGAGTAAAAATATTGAACATATAAGTAAAAATATAAAACATGTGAGTAAAAATTGGAACATATGCTTTCGAATTTAGAACACAAGCACGTTTTAAAATTTACAACATATAAGTTAAAATTTCGGAATAAGTCATTCAAAATTTATAACATCGAACTTAACTAATTTATGGTTTAGAACATGTGAATACTAATTTTGAATACATGGGAAAAAGTTTAGAACATCAGATTTAAAATTTAGAACATATGAGTAAAAATTTAGAACATAAAAAGTGTATATATATATATATATAACATAAAAATTTAGAACATGTGATTACTAATTTAATAAAGGCTATTGATGTGTTAGGCTTTAAATATATGAAGAAAAAAAAATTAGGAGTTATTGATTATTTAGAACCCACACTATATACCTTATAATGTCCCTATTTTGTTGATACAATTTTGACATACAAATTTGTTTGTACAAATTTAATTAACTTCAACTTTATTTTTCTATATATAAAAATCAATTCTTTTTTTAAAAAAAGTGAGCTAGTCATAAGTTTTTATTATAATATATAAGTAAACTGAGGAAAATAATGAAACATCAAATACTATTATAAAAAATATATATTAGCGTGAATTATTAAGGTTTTTCCAAATAATAATATTAGCACGAGAATATTATAGAAATATTGGTGAATATTGCAAAAATTACTTAATATAAAATAAAATATATACATATAAGAATATTTCATTAAGAGAATATTACAGCCTATAAATACTTTTCACGGATAATTGACGAAATAAAAAAAGACAAAAAAAAATAAATTTGGAGGGGAAATTTTTAACCAGTGAATGACATGTGTCAACATTAATTTCATGTCACTGCTGGCTGAAAACTAAGATTGTTCAAGTAGTCTTCTAACTCTTTTGTACAAGATTTTGAAGTCTAAATATGCAAGACTAGTGAAAGTTGTGATTATGAATCATTATTCATAATCGTTAATACTTGATGTTTCTTGAGGCGCCCCTCTATCTTTATGATAAATCACTAGGTTAGTTTTATTTATTAATGGCAAATATTCCTTTAAATTCTTGTTTCTCTTTTTCTTTTTTTTTAACCTAGAAAAAACTAATATTATTGTAAAAGGTCAAGAAGAAAAGAAAAATAGGAGTAGCTTTTATGAACCAATTGTCACCGGAAATACTAGAATAAATACTACGCCCCTCTTGGCCTCTATAGCAAAATTTCTCAATTACGACCCTTTGAAAGAAAATTTCCAATTTACCTTCAATAGCATTTTTTTTTGTAAAGCATAAAATCCCTAGTTGTCCATGTGTTTTTAGGAATAATTAACAATTAAAATCCTCAAGAAATAATAACAAGAAAATCCACTATTCTCACCTTTTAAAAAATTCTCCACACTTCCTCAAAAAAAAAAAAAAAAAAAAAAAACTCCATACTACCAATAGCACAATTGATTTTAAAAGTATCCCATTATTGCACGAAATTATCTCGCTAAATATAATCATAAAATAGAATTGATCATCAATAGTCCGACCTTTAAAAAAAAACCGATTTGAATAACACAACAAATGAGTTCTTAGCCTAAAGTTCGAACCTAACTTTAGGCTTTTTTTTTACAGGGGCTTTTTATTTTTTTTTTATTTTTTATTTTTCGTAAAAAAAAGTCTAAAGTTCAAACCTACTTTGAAAAGGCCCAATCTAAAACCCGGTTTGAAAACTCGATTTCGGTAGTGATTATCAAAACCCACACCAATTAAGTGTAAATTAAGTGTAAAGTATGAGCAATTATTGTTAAAAATCATAATCTAATCAAGGGAGATAAAACTGAGAAGCTTGCCGGAGTTTAAAAAGTAGAAGTAGTGCCATACCACCAGGCAGAGAACCAGGACTCAGTGCTCAGTATAGACTACTTCTGGTGCACTGCAACTGATTCTCTCTCCTCTAGAACCTCAAAAATTGTAGCCATGAATGGAGGAAAAACCAAGAAATCTTCTCCCATGTCTCGTGAACAATTTGTTTCCACCATGGCTCCTTTAATCGACATCGAAAAGGTCATTTCTTTCTCTTCCCCTGTTCATCATTTGATTGTCTTGTAATTAATCTTTGTTGTTTAATTAATGTAAAATTGTGGGTGTTTCTCCATTTTGAATTGAATTTAATGGGTATTTCTCCATTATTAATTTAATGTTGTTATTGGAAAATTGAGTATATCACCAAAAATAAAGTTATCATTTTTTTAAGTTTCCTGTTCTTTTGTTTATTCTAGAGAATCTTAAATTAAAATTGCTTGTGAATTCACAATTAATTTCATTTTGAAATTGGAATGCTTTTTGGTGGTTTGTAATATGGGTTTTGTGAATAATTTTTCTAGTTTTCTAATTACAATTGATCGTTGTTGGGCAGTTGAATAATTCAACAATTACATTTCACATTGTTTATTTTCGTGATTCTATTGATTTTGCAAACTATGGCAAATGGTTTAAAGTGCTCATATTTCATTTCTTTTTCCCAACATTGTGTGATTGATTTCATTGTTAATGGAAAAATTAATCAGTTGTGATAGTTAAAATGTGAATTTAACTTGAGATTAAAATGTGTTTATGTTTAGGAGGCTGAGATATCTGCTTCTATCACAACTAGTTCGACCAGGAGCGTCGAAACGGCTCAAAAAAATGGTTCTATTATTCTTAACCTGAAGTGTGTTGATGTTCAGGTAATCCCTCTTTTTATTTTTAGTATTAATTAAAAGTCCCAACATTAGTTGCTTTGATGTTTTATACTTCTTATTCTTCAAAATTATTGCAAACGGGTGAGTGAAAGGGGAGGGAAGATAATTTCTTTGGAATCATAATTTGTTAAGGGCATTCAGCAGCTAATATGATTGATTGGAATTGATTGGATTCCCTTGTATCATTGAAAAGAGCCTGAAGTATATTTTTTTTTAAGATAGGATTTATTAACTATTCATACAATTATATTTTATGATTTAATATATCAATCATTAATTCATAAAGTTTGAGATAACTTCTGTAAAAAACTTGTAGTAATAGTATTACTATAGTGTTGTACTAGGTTTGAATGTTATGTGTAAAATCTGTAAATATGTTAATTCGAGGATAGGAATAGCTAATTAGCAATATTTCAATTCTAGTAAAGAAAAGGAGTAATTTAAATTTCCTGTTGTGCTCTTTTGATTCGTATCATTGAGGAGTAGGTCAGTCAAATGTATTTGCATTGAAGGTTCTAATGAAGACTATCACTTTAAGCTAGGCTATATACATCTAATCCCCTTATACCCATTTCTTTGTAAAAGATGATTAAAAGTGCTGAAGAGACTGATTATAATAATTTCTTATGCATTCCTCCCAAAATTGCAACAATCGTGCCTGTCGTATGAGAACATATTAAAACAGTGATTTATTAATTTTCCTTGATTTATCTACTTAATTATCTTGCATTCCGATGGATTTTTGTTGCCAAATTGGTGTTTCTTCATCCATGACAGGCAGGATTGATGGGAAAGAGTCTTCTTGAATTTCAATCGACAAAAGGAGATGTTCTTCCTCCTCACAAGGTGAGTGTTATACCTTTGGTTTATGTATGACAAGTGTTTGAGTATTACATGTTTGTGGCATATTGACAGTCTATAAGAAAAGACTATTATACTTATTCTGCGTTTAGCATTTACAATCATGTATTGACTCCCTCTTGCCGAAACTGTTCTTGTTAAAAAATTATCTATTATAAGTGGCGAAATACTTGGTTTTTCCACAGAAAAAGGAAAATGAAGTAACTCTCAAGAACAATGGATGTCATATGATGTGAGCATTTGACAAAAATACCCCCTTTCCCCCCTATAAAAAAATAAGGAAAAAAGACCGAAAGTAGAATCGTTCAGTCTCACATATTCTACTCCTGCTATCTCCTTGCTTCTCAACTACTTTATTTTTGTACCTGTTTCCATTTCATTCTGAGCCTATAATACTCAGTATTG